CACTTTTTTTGTGTAATAAAATACTTAAATATTATCATATAAAAATATTATAATAGATCATAATCAAACACCACGTGAAACATAATTAATGACTCGATGCAACACTTTAGACAGCTAAAAAATAAGAAACTAGCAAAGACATTTTCGATTAATAACCAAAATAATACATAATGAGCTAAGTCATAATTTGTATATCGTAGAATTTTTCATTGTTTTTTTTTTTTCAGAAAATAATATTTTGAGGCAATTGAAATTCATGATTTTTGATAAATTTAATTAGCACAATTAAGGATTTGATTTCAGATTGAGAATACATTTTTTTTAAAAAGAAATTTAAAAGAAATTATTTTTATAAGCTTATTTTACATAAAATCACATACTGTGACAAAAAATTTCAATAGCCATTAATAAATCTATTTGTATTTAGGTTTCAACTGTTAAAATTTTCTACACATAACTCATAATTAATTTTCTATTTGAAAAATAAATTCTCTAGCATTTCATGGGTTACCTAATAGTAAATAACTAAACTAATATAAATTTTCTATTTTGATTTTCTTTTAAAATCGTTAACATTAATATACACAAAAAAACATAATTACAACTATTGTGCTAGCAAAGGGTAGTTTTGAAAAATTAATATTTTTGAAGTGTAATAATAATTGTACCACAAAAAAAATTAAATTTTTTGAAAACAGACTAAAAATATTTTGGGACAAAGGAAGTGCGTACCATATGTAATCTATTATAAGTTGGCATAATTTTACTATAAATTTCGTAATATCTATGGGGATATATTTTCTGAGTATCAACACGTGGCTAAGGTGACGTCGACGTTTCAGCTGAGGTGCCACGTGTCCTGGTCATTATGCCGAGGTCATCTCGGTTAGGCCGAGGTTATCTCCAAAGATATCGGAATCCGAGATAAGCGGATAAGGGATAAAGGACAAGAGTCCTAGAATAAAGAGGAAACTTAACTAAGATAAGGATAAACCTCTTAGGGAGTTTATCTTTATCTCTTAAGGAGTCCAAAGTAAGTATTGAACAGGAATCCATAGAAGTCAGGCTTCTATTGGGATTAGGATTGAGGTAACTATAAAAGATAGGCACCCCCATGGGTCTAAGGTACGCAATTTATATTCTGTCTAGTAAGTTAAGCACTATTGATTATCTTTGAGAGATATACTGACTTGATCGTCGGAGTGCCCCCAGGTGGACGAACCACCGCCGGAATCTTCTCTTTCTGTTACAGGTTAGCTAGGTGTCGTCTATTCTGCCAGTGTTCTTCAGCTGAATACTGAGTTGGACAGTATGATCGGAAAATCACTCACACAATATCAATCCCAAAATGTATAACTTTGTCATAAATTAGTGTAATATATCATAATCAAACATCATTTGAAGCATAATTAATGACCCGATGCAACACTTTAGACAGCTAAAAAACAAGAAACTAGCAAAGACACGTTGGATTAATAACCAAAATAATACATAATGAACTAAGTCATAATTTGTATATCGTAAAATTTTTCATTGTTTCTATTTTTTTTTCTTCAGAAAATAATATTTTGATGCAAGTGAAATTCATGATTTTTGATAAATTTAATTAACACAAATGAGGATTTAATTTCAGATTGAGAATACATTTTTTTTTTTAAATTGAAAGAAATTATTTTTATGAGCTTATTTTACATAGAATCACATATTGTGACAAAAAATTTCAACAGCCATTAATAAATATATTTGTATTTAGGTTTCAATTGTTAAAATTTTCTACACATAACTCATAATTAATTTTCTATTTGAAAAATAAATTCTCTTGCATTACACGGGTTACCTAATAGTTAATAACTAAAATAATATAAATTTTCTATTCTGATTTTCTTTTAAATTGTTAACATTAATATACACAAAAAATATAATTACAACTATTGTGCTAGCAAAAGGTAGTTTTGAAAAATTAATATTTTTGAAGTGTAACAATAATTGTACTACAAAAAAAAAAAAGGTTAAAGACTAAAAATATTTTGGGACAGAGGAAGTAATAATAAGGGAAAAGTGTGCACCCAAGGAGTGCATACCGTATGTAATCTATTACAAGTTGGCATAATTTTAATATAAATTTCGTAATATCAATCACAAAATATATAACTTTGTCATAAATTAGTGTAATAGATCATAATCAAACACCACTTGAAGCATAATTAATGACCCGATGCAACACTTTAGACAGCTAAAAAATAAGAAACTAGCAAAGATACATAATGAACTAAGTCCTAATTTGTATATCCTAGAGTTTTTCATTGTTTTTATTTTTTTTTTAAAAATAATATTTTGATGCAAGTGAAATTCATGATTTTTGATAATTTAATTAACACAAATGAGAATTTGATTTCAGATTGAGAATACATTTTTTTTTTAAATTGAAAGAAATTATTTTTATGAGCTTATTTACATAGAATCACATGCTGTGACAAAAAATTTCAACAACCATTAATAAATCTATTTGTATTTAGGTTTCAATTGTGAAAATTTTCTACACACGACTCATAATTAATTTTATATTTGAAAAATAAACTCTCTTGCATTGCACGGGTTACCTAATAGTCAATAACTAAAATAATATAAATTTTCTATTTTGTTTTTTTTTTTAAAAATTCATTAACATTAATATACACAAAAAATATAATTACAACTATTGTGCTAGCAAAGGGTAGTTTTGAAAATTTAATATTTTTGAAGTGTGATAATAATTGTACTACAAAAAAAAAAGTTAATTTTTTTTTTAAAAAAACTAATATTTTGAGGCAGAAGAAGTAATAATAAAGGAAAAGTGCACCCAAGGGGTGCATACCATATGTAATCTATTATAAGTTGGCATAATTTTACTATAAATTTCGTAATATCAATCACAAAATGTATAACTTTGTCATAAATTAGTGTAATAGATCATAATCAAACACCACTTGAATCATTATTAATGACCCGATGCAACACTTTAGACAGCTAAAAAATAAGAACCTACCAAAGACATTTTCGATTAATAACCAAAATAATACATAATGAACTAAGTCATAATTTGTATATCGTAAAATTTTTCATTGTTTTTATTTTTTTTTTCAGAAAATAATATTTTGATACAAGTGAAATTCATGATTTTTGATAAATTTAATTAACACAAATGAAGATTTGATTTCAGATTGAGAATACATTTTTTTTTAATTGAAAGAAATTATTTTTATGAGCTTATTTTACATAGAATCATATACTGTGACAAAGAATTTCAACAGCCATTAATAAATCTATTTGTATTTAGGTTTCAATCGTTAAAATTTTCTACACATAATTCATAATTAATTTTCTATATGAAAAATAAATTTTCTTGCATTGCACGTGTTACCTAATAGTTAATAACTAAATTAATATAAATTTTCTATTTTGATTTTTCTTTTAAATTTGTTAACATTAATATACACAAAAAATATAATTACAACTATTGTGCTAGCAAAGGGTAGTTTTGAAAAATTAATATTTTTGAAGTGTAATAATAATTGTACTACAAAAAAAAAAAGTTAAATTTTTCAAAAAAAGACTAATACTTTGGGACAAAGGAAGTAATAATAAAGAAAAAGTGTGCACCCAAGGGGTGCATACCATATGTAATCTATTATAAGTTGGCATAATTTTACTATAAATTTCGTAATATCAATCACAAAATATATAACTTTGTCATAAATTAGTGTAACAAAATGTTTAAATTTGTGGTTCATGTTATAAATTTTTTTGGCTTGATTACAATATTTTTTGTTCAATTCGTGATGAAATTAAGCATTTTATAATTGATATTATAAAATTTTATGATAAAATTATATCAATTTGTAGTAGAGTGCATATAGTGTGCACCCTGAGAGGGTGCCATAGGGTTTCCTTAATAATAATAATAATGAAATAAAAAGTGATAGTGCAATAACTTCAATGGAGGATGGGACGGACCGGTCCACGCTTCCAACGAGTCTGCTGGCCTTGATGTCCACGAAGGGTGCCTTCAAAAACGTCCAGAGGGGGGATAATCCCTCGACGGACACTCTAACGATCAAGTTAGGTTAGGGTCGATTGAGTTTAAAGTGAGAGAGAAGTTAGGAGGGGGGGTCAGGAAAAACTTAACCTTTAACGTGTCTCGAAGGCATCCTTATATCTTTTGCTCATCATTTCCTTATCCATTTTAAACTGTCATATTAGTCGAAAGCCTGTTGTCTGCTTGTCGTCGGCCATGGTGGTTTACCCATGCATTAGAGCAATAGGTCTTGTAGTATTTAATGCTTTGACAGACTCATTTAATGCCTGGCGCGTGGGCTTAATAACTTCCCAAAATCTTTGCCTGTCATGTGGCCAGCTCTTTTTCTGACGGTTGGTTGGCCGGTGCCTGGGCCAAAATATTATGAGTAAGTTCTATATTGGGTTTAGTGTTCGGCCTATCTTGCTAGGCTTAGGAGAATGGTTGTTTGGGTAACCCAAGATAGCCCCCCTCTGGGTTGTGCCCATTAGTAGTTCCCCCATTCTCGAGCTTAGCTTTAGACCAGAGAAGGGAATAAGAGAGGTGGAAGTAGTCCCCAAAGTTGCAAAGGAAGAGGGCCGACCAAGGATGGCCAACTGGAGAGGAAGCTGACCGAGAGGTTGGCGATCGAGGACGCCGACCAGAGACATGCCCGACCAAGGAGGGAGCCGACTGGTGGGGTGGGCAACCGAGCGTGCCGATCGGTGTTTACGGCCCCCACCTTAGGACCAGCACTCCCCATCTCAAGGCTCGAATCCACTACACCACGCTCTCATCCCTGAAGGTGAGGCTAGCAGCGTTCAACACCCACTTCCCTCTAGAAGAGACAACATTTCTATTTGGGACGTAGAACTACGAGCCATGAAGCTCCAACTTCAGGGAGTCATGCAAAACATACAAAACAAACGTGTCCATCAGGGATAAACCCCTACCCTCCAAGTTCAAGATGCCGTTAATCGACACCTTCGACCACACAACTGATCCAGTCAACCATTTGGAAGCTTACAGGACCCTCATGATCTTCCATGCTTGCCCTGGTGAAATCATATTTCGTGTTTTCCCTGTGACACTCAAGGAGTCGGTGCGACTGTGGTTCAGTCAATTACCATCGGACTCCGTCACCACTTTTCAACAGCTAAGTGATTCCTTCTTGAGTCATTTTATCGGCGCTCAGCATCAACGACATCCAGCAACTCAGCTGCTGAATATTCGCCAAACCGACGGGGAATCGCTACGTAGCTTTATCACCTGTTTTAATTCGAAAGCCCTCCAGGTTGAGGAGAATGATGATAAGGTCATCTTAACAGCCTTCATGGTCGATCTATGCCCGTCGGATTTCCTCTTCTCCCTCTCAATACTCGCTCATGCGGTGTTTGTAATAGTCAAATTATTGGAAGTTGTGGATTATTTCCGTCTTTGTCTGTCCTTCCACCAACTTGACCGCCTGCACCTCTAAAAGACCAGCCTCAGACCCTCATTCCCTGGCCAGATACAAAGCCACAGCAACGTCTACTGCTATTTGGAACTCCGGTGACTTTTTGAATTGCTCCACTACTGCGGTATAGAGGTCGGGATAGGCTGCTCTTTCTAACGCTATAACCCTGGCCTGCTCCGCCGCCTCATTTTTCTCCTTTTCTAAAGCTTTCTCCAACTTTGCAATTCGCTTATCAGCCTCTTCTTTCTCCTTTAGAGACGTGTCACGAAGCTCTTCATTATTGGCCAACGCCTCTTCCAGCCTTTCGTTAGCTAGGGTACAGGCCTATTGAGCGTCCAACACCTTCTCTCGCTCTCTCTCCCTTTCGGCCTCCAACAACCCCACCTTTTGATGAACGACATCCAGTTCACTGACTGCCTGGCCTAACTGTGCCTTCACCTCAGCCAACTCGGCCACTACATCCCCCTGGTACTTTTTTGCCCGGTCAGCCACATAGTCCTGCACTAAAACTAATACTTCCATCCCTATTGTCCATCGCTCACTAACCAACCCTTTGGCGCAAGCACTTTGTGCCGTCTTCCGCTATTTGCCATTCTCTAGTCTGGCCGCTTCTAGCTCAGCGTGTGTTTTTCCTAACTGGGCCTTTAGTGGCTTAATCTCCATTCTGGCCATCACTCTTTTACCCAACAGAGTGGCTATCAAAGTCAGTGACTCTATTTGGGTCGAACAAAATGCCCTCAGAAGGTCGGCCTGTCCAAATCACAGCACGTCCTTGACGGCCGTATCATTAATAGTGCCTAACAGGTGTTCAGTAGCGACCCTAACGTCACGAAGGATGTTGGCTAGCTCGCCCACCTTAGGTAGTGACTACCCAACCACTACACTTAGGTGGCATGCAGCTGTACTTACCATACCAAAGGAAAAGCTCTCCTCCACCTTACTTGTACTCACTGGGAGTGGGCGCTCCTTCTCCACCCTCTACTCTACCCTACTTGGTTCCTTCGCAGCAGAAAGATCCATCCTCTTATCAACTGCCCTCTCAATCTCTATACTTAGGTCTACATATTTAGCAATGGGAGAGTCGAATTCACCTCCCTCATTTCCCATCCCTGGCCTTGTCTGTACCATCTCCACCTTTCTTATTTGTTCACCACATGGTGCAATCACGCTCGTTTTAACCCTCTTAGCTTTCCTACCCTTCTCCCCCCCTCTGGCCATACTTATTTTCTTCCTTTTTGCTTGGGCTATCTCAGCTCTTCCCCTCTCCTTGATCGAATCAATTGGGGCCTTCAACGGTATGATAGTTTCTAAGTCACGTCCTTCCAACGCCTTGGGCTATTGGAGTGGGACCACGTGCATATACGGTTTTAGGGCTGGGCCCAGCTCTTGATCTTTCTGTCTCTCTACTATGGCTAACGTTCGGCGGTCGTCGGCCTCTTGGGATCTCCTCATCGCCTCAACCTCCTCTGGAGTTGGGTCTCCCCCCACTTGTTGGGGGCCTAACCCAGCAGCAAAAAGAACAAAGGGCTTCACCAGATCGTCCCATTTCAGCCCCTTCTTTTCTCGCCATTGCTTTACTTTTTCACTTCTTTCTCCTTTGCTACGCCCAACTTCGGCTCTATTGACCTAGTGAGGGTCTTCTAGATTGTTCTCACCCTCTTCCCCGTATTCTCCGAAACAAAAAACCACTTCGTCCTCCACCCCTTAACGGATGAAGGAAGCCCAGCCACCAATCTCCTGCCTGGCACTGCTTGCAGTGATACCCAAGTCTCATGTTGGCCCGATGCCTTGTAGCACACAAAGAACTCGTCAACTGTCATGTGCCGCCCCCCAGTCGCTTGCAACTAGGAAATAACACTGCTATGAGTATCTTCCATGCATTCGACACTAACTGACCGGGCGCCACCTCCAGCTGATTAAGTACATTTACCACAAGCTAAGGGAGCGGTAGCCTCAACCCCCTGAACAACGCCTCTTCGTAAAGCGTGAAATCCATTAGTCTAACATCTAATGCCCTTTCTCTACCAACGGAACCCTCAACTCCACGTTTTTCAAAATCTAATACTTCCTTCTGATCCTCTCCAAATCCTCCACTGCCAACATCGACTTGTCGACTTTCGTATGCTAGTGGTTAGGGGCCACTTGGCTTAAAGGTTGTGCGAATGAGATCATTGTCGACGGAATCGGACGCGATGGCCTTCCGGTACCTCTTTCCACTAACCCCTCCACCCTATACTTTTTCGCCAGAGCAACGCCATCATTGTCCCCCCCTAACGCGTCAGTCCTTAGGACAGGCGCTTCTTCATGAGCCATCTCTCTCACGTTTCTAATGATGGCTTCGGTTACAGGAGCCAAGAATTTCGAAATGTGCAGAATTGGGGAATCCCACGATAAGAATGACCTCAAATCTAGAATATGTTAGTTTTTTGCAATCAAATATGTGAAGCGTACAACTTCAAAGGCCCACGGTTTCCCTGTATTCCAAGGATCACAATTCAAAATCGCTAGTTTCAAACATTTGCCAAAAGTGAGTGGGGAAATGCATACCACACGACTTAATACATTTGCCTCATTGTATCTCACGCGTCATACCACATTAAATGACCACTTTGCCTTTTTGGTTTCCCCTTCACCACTTCTTGCCTCATAAATCACTGCGAAGTGACATCAACCGTTTCGATTACCTCCACGTGTCCAGCTTGCATTGTCTCAATTTCTGCCTCCCATCCCATCGTCACGTACCTCCTAATTTCTTGAGCCCCGTGCCTTGTCTCATGGTCACCATCACACCATCTCGACGATATGAAAGGTAGAGGAAGAGGTCATTGAGGAGCATGTGGTTGGAATGGGTGGCTGGGAGTTTGTTTTCGGTTGGAGGGATATCTTGTGGTGGTGGAGAAGGGACAAGGAGATCCCGCTGGAGCAAGGCGTTGATTAAAGCCTGGTTTTGCTCGGTTAAGCAGTTGATGTTGTTGGTGAGTTTTGCGAAATATGGAGGTGGGTTATTTGGGTTAGAGGACTCAGCTTCAAGGTTACCAGCATTGTGTTGTGAAGCCATGGACCTGGTCGTGACCATTCACTCTGACGTAGGAGATGGGTGTTAATGGGGTTCTCTTCAGCAACAATGAACACAACTGTCGACCAGAGATGGCTTCCCACAGACGGCGCCAGCTGATAGTGCAATAACTTCAATGGAAGATGAGGCGGATCGGTCCATGCTTTCAACGAGTCTGCTGGCCTTGATGTCCATGAAGGGTGCCTGCAAAAAGGTCCAGAGGGGGGGGGGATGGTTCCCCAACGGGCTCTCCGATAATCAAGTTAGGTTAGGGTCGATTGAGTTTAGAGTGAGAGAGAAGTCAGGAGGGGGGGTTAGGAAAAACTTAATCTTTAACGTGTCTCGAAGGCTTCCTTATATCTTTTGCTTATCATTTCCTTGTCTATTCTAAACTATCACACATTTAACAATGGCTAAACATTCATGTTTGATTGTTGGATAATTTAAAGCTGCTTGCTTCCAAGTTCCTGAAGTTAAACGTAAAAGTTCTTCCTTTTTACTGTTCACGTTGAATTGTTTGAGGATACCACCATAACCTTGGTTAGAGGCATCTGTTTCAACTGTCTTTTTCCATTCTGGATGTGGCAAGGAAAGACAAGGAAATGTCTTTACTCTGGTCCATTTTTCCGGAAAAGTTATGTTTTGCCATGGTATCATTTTTGGCACAGCAACTTGGTTACTGAAAAGGTTTGTATCAATTAAGACTGTGTGTCCTAATTCATTCTGTTTCCGTATATAAAGATTTAAAGTTGTTAAAATTTTTAAATAAATTCTGGAAATAATGGCAAATGGTGGTGAGCCTAGAAGATAACTAATGCTGTTCCGACCAGACCTATTGTTCAACAAACCTTAGATGAGCTCATACAGACACAAGGAGAGAATGTTTATTTAACATTCCAAAGGCCCCATAGGCTATTGTCCAGAAGTATGTCAAGTACCAGTTATAGAACTGCTCCATCATACAGAGTAGATTTACTTGACTCTTCAAGGTAATCTACTTCTGAACCTTTAGAATCAGTTCTACAAGGTATGCCCTCCAGACCTTCTAGTAACCCTAATCAGACTTCGGATCCAGTAGTTTAGGGAATCCAATTTTCAGAAAACCAAATACCACATGGTGTTTATGAATCCAGAAGGCCTTACAGCCTTACAACCAGTGATATGAATTTTGAAATTTAATGAATTTTACACCAGGAAGTGAAAATTGAAAAATCCTAAATTAGGATTTTTTACAGGAAAAATACAAAGAATTTAGAAAATGGTATTTTGAAAACCACACTAAATCACAACTTGACCAATATAAGAACCAGTATTATGCTCGCTTAGAGCAACACCAGAGACTTGAATCTTTTCCTATTTGGTATAAGCAGAATATTTCTATTCCAGAATCACAAATTAATGTTCTCGAAAATATACAGAAAAATTGGACAACCACAGATGGCCAGGTCATCACTTCTGTCCATCCACCACCACAGCCTTTAGAACTTAAACCTAGTACCATAGTAGGCTCAAGTAAACCACTAGTCATTACAGCATTTGTAGAAACTCCAGGAGTTGTAGGAGTAAGAGTACAAGTACAAATAAAAGATATTGTACCCTTAATAAAACAGAATAATTATACAAATCTTTTTTTCCAAATAGCAGGAAAACAATTGGTAAGACTAGAAGAAGCTGTTATGCAAATTAAAGAAAGTTATATCCTCCAACCAAAACCTGAAATTAGATCAGAAATTATTCCAGTAACCATAAAACCTCCTTTGGATATTACTAAGTTTAAACTTAAGTCATCCAAACAAGATACAGAATTTATGGATACTCTTATTAGTAAGAGTCAACATCTTAAAATAGGAGAATCCTCCACATCTCAAATTAATATGTTATCCAAACAAAGTATTCAGAACAATAAAGAAGAAAATAATCTTACTTTTTCTCAAATTACAGAAATTGAAAATAATTTTATGGAAAA